GTTCTTTTTTCTTTCGTTATTTTTTTTTTTTCTTTCCCCTTTCGTTTTTTTCTTCTTTCGTTATTTTTTTCCCTTTTCATTTTTTATTTCTTGTTTTCTTTTCGTTTCTTTTTTTTTTGTTCCCTCTTTTTTCTATTCTTCTACTTTACTTTTTCTTTATTCCCTTCGGTTCTTTTTCTTTATTCCCTTTGGTTCTTTTTCTTCGTTCCCTTCGGTTCTTGTCTTTTTCTTTGTTCCCTTCGGTTCTTGTCTTTTTCTTTGTTCCCTTCGGTTCTTGTCTTTTTCTTCGTTCCCTTCGGTTCTTGTCTTTTTCTTCGTTCCCTTCGGTTCTTTTTCTTCGTTCCCTTCGGTTCTTGTCTTTTTCTTCCCCTTTTGTTTTCTTGTCTTTTTCTTCCCCTTTCGTTTTCTTGTCTTTTTCTTTCCCTTTCGTTTTTTTGTCCTTTTCTTTCCCTTTCGTTTTCTTGTCTTTTTCTTCCCCTTTCGTTTTCTTGTCTTTTTCTTCCCCTTTTGGTTCTTGTCTTTTTCTTCTCCTTTCGTTTTCTTGTCTTTTTCTTCCCCTTTCGTTTTCTTGTCTTTTTCTTCCTCTTTCGTTTTCTTGTCTTTTTCTTCCCCTTTCGTTTTCTTATTTTCCCTTCGTTTTTTTTTTTTTTTTTTAATACTTACTAACCGTTTCTCTTTTCTCATATCTGATCTGAGTCATCGTCCCTGGTGCCATAGTTGTTGGAGCTGTCATAAGTATGTCACAGCATTGTTTTTTTTTTTTCCTATATTTACTAACGCATCCTCTTCCAGATATTTCGGTGTTGAAGCTTTCGTAGTTAGTGTCGTCGCTTTTGGTGTTAAAACTTCGTCGTTGGTGTCATCGTCTTCGGTGGTTAAGTTCTTGTCGAATTTTGCTGTGGATTTTGGTTACTGGATTTTTGTCTTTATCTAAAGTGGGTGGACGGATACGAATTAGAGTTTTTTTTTTTTTTATTGTTTATGCAACGACGTTCGTTGCATAATTGTTTTGTAATTTTTTTTGTTGCGCAATGCACATCGTTGCGTAATAATTTTGTAAATTTTTTTTTTTTTTAATAAAGTTACATGATCCACATGATCGATTTTGATTGGTCGATCATGGGGTCGCCATGGCGATGGGTCGCCATAAAATAACGCTCTTTTTTTTTAATAAAAAAGTATATATATTGATATTGTATATGCATACGTAATAATTACGGAGCTCAATATCTGATTGCGCCATCTCACATGAAAATGTAAATTTTCACTTTAATATCGACGAATGAAGTATTGAGAACAATAGTAAACGTCGCTGGTATTCACATGGTGAGAACTAAAGTCATTGTCATGTATTTGATATGGTAATTTATTACATCAGCAGGAACGTAGTAATGAATTACGAATGTATAGTCAATGTGGCAAATGTTCAAAATCCGGTATTTTGATTGGCCGGTGATCACGGATATAAAACGTGAATGAATTTGCGTGTACAAATAACTGAGGATTGGTACGTACGTACGTACGTACCAGGGTTCTTCAGTTTCTGTAGCATCTAAATAGCGTCGTATTTTATTTTTTTTATAAGATGCGAAAGTTGCTACCCTTGCATTAAACATGTGACTAGTACTTTTGTTAAACTGATTTACGTAGATTTATACTTACTAAGTATAAATTTTTAATAGTGATTTACTAATTTTGCGCAATTTACTAGCTGATTTTGGCTAGTATTTTTGTTCCTAACGACCGGTGCCTGGTGCATATATAATTTACTATGTTCCGTAACGTGATTTTCAAGACAAAAACTCCTATATGCTGCGTTCCTGGTTTAAGAATGACTGTGTCGCGCAGCTACCCTAATTAATATATATTTAAAGAATTCCTTTTCCAGACAAATCAATAATATATCGTTTTTTTTTAAACGGATCTTATCGACAAAAAAAGAATAGTCAGAAAATTTATTTTATATAATATAATAATATATAGTGCACAAGTTGGTGAAAATAACGTGTTATTTCGAATTTATACCCTACATTTAAATTATACAGAAATTAATTGCTAATTGAAAAAGATAAATATTAGCATAACTGCATGTATAAATCATCATTTTCTGCATACAAATATTGTCAAAAAGTTAACTAGAGTATATAATTGACGATTATTATGTGCATGTAAATTAATTAATGGAGAGATAATGATAAATTTATCAGGATAGTATTTTTTTTGTTATTGTTTCAAAAGCTTGGCTTAGAGCGTCCAAATCTGTGGTTGCAAAACATACGCTGAATTCTTCTTTTTAATTCTTATTTTGACCCATTCGGCAGAACAATAGCCTACTGTATTACTGTTTTATGTCTTATTTAAAATTAGATATTGAAATTTTCTTTTTTTGTATGATTTTTTGAATGATTTATTATTTCATGTTTACGTCACTGCAGAATTAGCAAATTTAAAGTTTACATTAAACTTGATAACGATATGTGAACCATTTTCCGTATTTTATACATATGTAAAATGATAAGTTACGTTAGGTAGTTCTATTTAGTAATGGTAATTATTTATTATCCAGTAGGTTACTCATTTTTAACCGTTCATAAATTTTATAACTGATTAGATATTGATCTGTTAATCGTTAAGGTTGAACAGTTCCAATCTCTAGATCTTACAGCTGTTTTCATAATTTCTGAAACACCTGATAAAAAATCTGCTGAATGGTTTTCGGCTGTTTTAGTTAAGTTATTATTTTGGCACAATAAAATTACTTATTCCATGGGTACTATGTAACAACCCGT